ATGGAAAACCCAAGAGGCCTGTTTCTCACCAAATAACTCCCCTGGCGAATTTGCTCAGAAGCATGTGCCCATCGCCAAGTCACTGGTACCATCCTTAGAGGTGTCTCAGCCAAGAATTTATTCACAATTTGCCTTAGCTTGTATATCTGACGAGATCTCAGATGATACCACTGGTTCCAGCTGAGTTACTAATGCCTTGAGTGAGCAGCCACCTCTCTATGCTGTCATCAATGAGACCAGCGCCTGTGGACCCAGAGCACAAAGTGCTTGGGTGAGCAGATGGGCACTGCAGAACACCTGCATTTTGGAGGGTTTGGGTAGGGTCTGGATTTTACAAGCAATGGGATAAGCTCTGTGATTTCACTAAATCTGTTGGGAAATACCACTGAGAACGTATCAGCTCCATTCCTTCACCTACTTTTGGGGGAAGCTCTGTGAATAAAGGGAAGTGACCCTGATTATCTGAAAATGCAAATGCCCCTCTCTTGTTTTAAAGCAGTCAATCTCCTTCCTTGTTGCGCAGTCTCCTTCAGTCCCCCCAAGGCTATACCTACACACGTGAACAGGATGGGGAAATGTTTCAGGGCCACGTCAATCTTGTTAGCAACAAAGATGCAATAAAATAGGCTTAAACACTCAGGAGAACCACAGGAGATACCTACAGACTCTGTTACCTAGTAAGACCTGTCCTCACCAGCTGGATGAAGCCAACACAAGTATGCCAACATAGAATCACAGCATTGTTTTGGTTGGAAAAGATCTTTAAGCATTGAGTCCAACTGTAAATGCAACACTGCCCAGTCCACCACTAAACCATGTCCCCAAGCACCACGTCTACGCAGTCGTCTCATTTTGCTATGCAGACTGGCTGAGGGACAGCTTGAAGTGCAGAATTTTGAGAAGTCAGAAAAAAGCTGTGGGGTGTTTGGGTCAGGCTTTCTATGACATAGTTCGCTGTGAGCTCAAGTGATCAGAAAGGAAGAAATGAGCAGGAAAAGTCAGTGACTCAGAGGGTGTTTTACTGCGGGCCGAAGCAGCCATGCTGGCTGGTGCTTTAACCCCTGCTGGGTTTGTACAGCTGAGTATTTACGGGCAGATTTAATGACAGTATCCTTCTAAGCTCAGGGCGAGAGGTGACGGTGATTGAATATATGTTTCCATCCTTCCACACGTCCCAGACCACCAGGGTAAAGCCTCGTCTGGGTTGAGGGCATCTGCTTTGGTGGGGCTGTGGCACAGTGCAGAGGAGGATACACAGGACAGAGAGAGAGGGGCATGAAGGAGCTGGCTCATAGGATGGGTCTGAAGAGCTCTCCTGGGGTGGGAAACCCTCCCACCTAGCACTAAGGTCACCTCTTTAAATTTGAACAGACATTTCATTTTCCAAAATGGAAACATCAGTGGGAAACAGTGTTTTAAGAATGAGGTCTCCTTCCTAGGCACTGGAACCTCTAATCCCCCTGACACCCCTGGTTGACAGCTTCGAAGAACATGAGTAAAAATCCCTTACTTGTACACGCTCTCCTGCGTGGGGACGGATGGGGACAAAGCTGGGGATCAGAAAATTGACGGAACGTTTCTGAAAGCTGCAAACACTAATTGTTGGAGAAAAGTTGCACACTTGCTTGGCTGTAGCTTAAAAAGGGCTGTGGAGTTTTTTGTTGTTTTTGTAAGTCAAGACAAATAAATTCTCTTACTTTACTATTTTTCTAGGAGACACCACACTGAATTCTATTTCCAGTTATCACACTGACATAAGAAGAAGCTAAAGGGCAGTAACTGAGAGGCAAAATCTTGAACAATCAATGCAAAAAGAAAAAAACCCAACAAGGAAACAGACCTTTTCTCCATCTGTCGGTAAGGTGCAGAGCCAACACTACCCATTTACTTTATGTCTAATGGACTTAAAGAAGGCCAAAAATTGGTTTAATGCGGTCTTAAGGCACCTGGTCTAATATCATTATGTGTTGCCCAATCCAATAAGCAGTGCAAATCCTAGTCTATTGCTGAAATCTGACCTTGCGCATCGTTAAACGGATTGGGAAGGAAGCCTGGCACTGCACACGCGTTTCCGCGCAGACGTGAGCGCTAGGAGGGGGTTGCTTCCAGAGGAGGCTGCCTTGTGCCTCACAGGACCCTCATTTTGGGATCAAAAACTTCTCAAAACACACAGAGCTGTGTTCTCTCTTCATCACCCAGATTAAGTTTCCATTCGTTTAAAAAGCAGAGTTTTAAGGTTTCTTCTCCTGCTACCAGCTGATCTCTCAGCATCAATCCCTCGCTTGCTGCAGTGAGCAGCAGTTTAAACGTTTCCTTTTCTAACGCACACCAGCGAGCTCTGGAGTAATGCTTCTGGGAGGTGTGGTACAACAGCGCATGAAATAAGCGGCAGTTTATACTACTGGAAAAATGTTTTTCTGCTTCGCCTCTAACAAAGCTGATTGCATTTTCCATTTCACCTCCTTCACAGTTTTTCTCTCTTCTTTAAGTATTCTGTGACAGGGAAATTACCATGGTTTCCCATTTAAGAGGTGGAGGGAACAACTGAGATAATCTAGAAACAAGGCTGTAATAGGCATCGGCTGGCACGGGAGCAGGGCTCTCGTCATGTCAGGTCGAGCCGTTGAGCCGTCAAGCCCTGCTGCAGCCACTAAGACCTGTCTTGCAATGGCTGGAAATTTAAACGGATAAGTAGTTGAGTGCAGTGGAAGCAGTCTGACTCCTAAAGGGCTTCACTGCTTTCCAGGTATAACCCATGCTCAAAAACCAACGTCAAGCCCCTTCCAATGCTGCTGTCGTGCTGTGGGAGAGGCTGCGCGGGGAGGGCAAAGGCAGCGCACAGTGCCCGCAGGCAGCAACCTCCCAGTACAGGCACGCGCCTCTGCCAGCTCCCAGCCCCGAGGGCTGCACTTCAGCCTCAGCAACACAGCCCCAGGTGCCTGCCAAGGTCTTTGGCAAAAAAACAGTTGTCAATATACGTACAACGCGTATGGCGAGATTAAAAAAATCAGGCACTAAAACCCAACTAACTCTCCGGAATTTCCTCCTGCCTCCCTCTCCTGAGCACCACCAGCTCCCTGCTCCGGCTGCCTCCTGCCTCTCCTTGGGTCTTGGGCACAAGACAAACCACAGAGTAAGAAAACTACGAGTTTTCAGCAAAACATTCAGTGCCAGTACTTAGTATCATTAATCTAAGACTGGGCTATGATTACCACAACACAGGACAGAAGAAACAGCGCTACTCATTTAATGACCCTATTTGTTGTTTTTCAGATGTCATGTCTTAAGTAAAACAACCAGGTTTTGCTTAACGTGACGCTTGGGGTCTGACTGAATTCCTGGCTGACCCAGGGACTTCATCTCATAAAAAGAACTGCCAATGTTACAGCGTATCATGAAAGAAATGCTGACTGGTGTTTTAGGAGCTAATTAGTTTTATAGTCAGAGAAGTCTAAGACAATAGCCCCTCCCTTTTCATCTCAGAGAGAAAGAGAGAGAAAGAGAGAAAACGAGAGCAATTGCTGTGTAAGAAATACGTAAGGTTAGGCATATTGTATTCGTCAGGATGCAAGTCCAGTGATTTAAGTGGGAATACTGGTAGGCATGCTCAGGCACCTTTGAACTGTGCCACTTAATGACTGAACAGTACAATTATTAATTAATTAAAGTATTAATTAATTAATTAATATAATTAACTGAATAGTAAATAATAACTTAAACTGGTTTTGTCATGGCCATCATGCAAGTCAAGATTCTCTAATTTTCCAGTTGCCATCATCTCCATGGTTGCTTCCATGCTGAGGGACAAGCATGCTGGTGGTGAGGCGCGGATCTGCAAAACCGAGCTCGTAACAGCATCCGTTAGTGCCTGAACTACGTGTACGTTGTGCAAGATACACATCCCTGGGCCCGTTTTTGGGTGTGTGCATCCTTTGAGCTTAGAAAATCTGGCCAGGAGAGTTTTTAGAGAACATCTTAGAAGACAACATAGGAAGTCAGTAGAGAGGAGAAGACTAATGACAATGGAGAGACACAGCAAACCAAGGAGTTTACAGTTGGTCTAGCAAACCACTACTGGACCAGCAAAGCCAGTAGACAACAAACAGGTGAGGCAGAAAGCAAAGAGCTCCTTCAACTTGTGCAAAAAACAACCCAAGGTGTGGACAAATCTGCCTGGAACTGACTATAGCCCAGATGCGATGAGTTCTCTCAAACCCCATTTATAGGCCTAGTTGTGCCATGGTACTTTGGTAATTAATCAGTATGTCTATGACTTTGTGAAGCTTTGGAAAACTTGAAAAATGACCTCTCTGACTTTCCCTCCATATGTAGTATTTCAAAACCTGTAGCTGCAAGAGTTATCGTGAGAGATAACTACCGCTGGCTGTTTCGCCAGTTGAGACTCTGTTGAGCATGGCATTTATTAGTTGGCGGTGGCCTGCCTGGGTGGGGAAATGAATCTTATGTATAGAGAGAGATAGTATCTTTACTAAGATACTGTATTTCCTAGACTTGATGCTACTGTGTTGTCCTTAAAAAAGTTAGAGGTAGCCCCAGGAAACATGAGTGTCCCCTTTCTGAAAGCAGGAAAGGGGTGGATCCCTCACCATCTCCAGTATTTTAACCATCTTTCTTTCTTTCTTTGCTAATGAGAGACTTTGGGAATTAGCAGAACCCCTACACATCTCCGCACTCACTCCCATTTCAGCCTGAGATAAACAACTGAGATTTCTGCCCCCAAGGACAGCTTCTGGACATCAGACTGGAGACACGAGATCAAATTCATCTCTGGTGAAATTCCACTGGCTTCAACCAATTAGACCAGAGATTAATTTGACCCACAGATACATTAAGAAAGGATACAAAGCACAAACGGTATTTTATAAAAAAGAGAAGGGGGAGGGGGAAATTCAAGGGGGACGCTGGATCCTAACCCAGCAGGATTCAGCCCAGCCCGCTCCACCCTCACATCACCAGGCACAGTGCATGATGCCGGTTACCTTTTTGCTTACTGACTTTCTTTACTGTCATTGCCGCTTGCCGCTTTTGATTTTCAGAAATTTCAAAGCCTGAAAAAAGGGAACACGGCAAACACAATTCAGAAGATTGCTTACAAAGCTGCTTTTTTTCATTTGGGGAAGGGGGAATGTTCTGCAGTGTTTGGCAAACGCAGAATGCCCTAGGTGGTAAAGCATCACCCAGTGAGCTGTGTGTACGGGCAGGTATTCTACTGAAAAACAAATCTTCCTTGAAAGGGTGGGCCTCTTTATAATCTCACTTGTGCAGGGGCTGCATGAAAGTAAGATTAGACCCATTATTATTATTTGTACAGGATCATAAATATGCCCAGCGCTTTACAGCTGAGCAACACAGAGCCTGAACTGACACTGCTAACAGTCAATTTATGGGCTGATGCTGAGGGAGGGGCACGGCTGGTAAGTCATTGACTTCGTTGCCCTCCTACCCTGCACAAGACATGCTTAACCAGAGGAGAAATGATGCAGCCAGCAGACTTTGAAGTCAGATGGCCAAAGACTTCCTTCTCCCACAATACCCACAGAGGTCCAGGCTTGAAGCTATGGGCAGAATTTGTTCATTGAGGGACAAAAATACCAGTAACTGAATTGGAAATAGACCTATTTATGACTATGAGAGCAACCAAGGACATTTGAACACGGCTGAACTGTAATTCTACTACTACAAAAAAAAAAAAAAAAAGGTAAAAAAAAGTGGGCTTCTCCATCAGTTGGGGCTAATTAAGCATTACCAACAATCTCCTTTCAGATTCATTTCATACTCCTCACCTATCTTTTCATCTTCTTTTACCATCTTCCTTTCTTCTCTGAAAGCTCTAAGCCATCGTAACTTCTCCTCCAGTTTCTTGGCAAAGAACAAGTGCATTTCCTCAGTCTCCTTGTTATGAAGTTTGAAGGCATTCTTCATGCTGACATTGAAGTCATCATCTCTCCCATCTTCTATATCCACCACTTCATATTTATCCATGTCTATGCGACCTTTGTAATACAGAATATCTCTTCGTATCAGATCCTACAGAGAGAAAAGGAGAGATGACTTGAAGGTAAGATACTTACAGAGCCTGAACTCACCAGGGGATTCATGGGAGGGCTGGAGAAAAGAAAGAAGTGATGGTGAAACCTGGTCAGATTCTTCAAGCCTCATCTGCTGGGAATACATTTGTTGCTGGCTAAGCAAATAGTGTAGATCACAGGCATAACAGAACAAAATACAAATCCTCACGCTGCAAAATTTCACTTGTAGGTACGAAGAAATGCCTTTGAGTAGGTAACACACGTCCAACATTTTCTATGATGGGAAGTTCTGTTCCGTAGGACGAGAAACTGGAAAATACGGGCCACTGGCCTGATAGGATTCCTGTGCTGCAAATAAGGCTGTTGTAGAAGCATAAACCTTTAGAAATGAGCTCAGGCATGTTTGGCAGTGCAGATTGGGTAGCGCAGATCCATTTTCCAAACACATCCTGAGTCAGAGGAGATGGGTCTCTGCCCCTTCTTGGAACCCATTTCCCATTCATACACAACTCACTGGCAAGGAAATCACCTCGATTCTCAGTTCAAAGAACTCCTAACCTGTCTGTCTCATCACGCCCCGGTTTTAACCCCTTGAGCCAGCTTAAACTGTTTATTTTCCCCTCCTTGACGTTTACAACCTGTTCATCCTCATCTCCTAAGCTGATTATTCCTGCCCCTTGTTTTTCAGCAAAAAACTCATTTCTCTACGTTGGGAATGGAAAAGGAAAATAGTCTTCATTATTGATTTTTCAGAGCTCCTACAAGAACACCCATAGCTCTGTGGCTGTTTGACATGCCCAGTGCAACCTCCGCTCCATGCCGGCAGCAGCCGGTGCAGCGCTGCTGTGGATCAGCTCCCATGATATTGCCAAAGCGAGGAGGACACGCGCTCACGGCACCTGGGAGACAGCGGGAGGTGGCACTAAAAAAAAAGTGTTTTGAGATCTGTTGTGTCACCTGCTCAATCAGAGATGTGAAATTGGGAATGCTGATAAACTGTAGTAAAAACCAGTTAATTTCTCATTTTCCTTCTTTCCCTCTTCATACTTATTTTGGTTTTGTCCACTAAAAGTTGTACTGCCTTTACCAGAACTATTCCTGATTTATACTGGTGTGAGAGGAGCATTGGCCCCACATCTCTATGTCTTTACAGGAACAGATAACAAAAAATGATCATCAGAAAATAGAATGTTAATTATATACTCATGACCACATAAGATGATTCAAGTTACAAGGCATACGTATTTACAAGCCAAATTTAGCAGGACACTATTGAGATTTCCTTCCTCTATCCACTCTCAAAACCCAATATTTAGGTGTATTACATTAACTTAAATACTTTTTGATTTTTGAGAGTGCCCTAAAGATAAATGCTGTGTCAAAGGATTCATTTAAGAGGAAAAATAAAATCAATGCACAGCATTTATTTACTCAAATAAGACTTAGTACTGAGGTTTTTTTAAAGATAAGCAGTAGGTATTATTTTAAACCAATCATTAATCTCAGCAAATAAATTGTACATCACAGTTTTGTAGCAGACTTGCTCATGGATATGTCAGACAGTTTTAACGACCATGAGACTGCTCAGAAGCTCGTAGTCTTCAAAACCCAGCTCCTTCCCCCAGAATGCTCTAGGGGGAAAAAAAATCCACTGACTACCGTATTGTACAAATACCTTCCTCTAGTATGTAGGCTTTGAGTAGTGACGCTGTCCACAACATAAGAAAATAGTATTTCAGGCTGAATATGCAATTAAAAAAAAAATAAATTATGTTTTGTCCTGACTTGGAAAATTGCTGCTTTCCTCTCCCTCTGCGCCCAGTGAAGTGCTGAGAAAAGGCTGTAAGCATCACCCTAAACTTGTTCAATTAAATCAATACTGCACACTGTGTTGAAATTTGAGTCTTGGACTAGTTCTTAGAAATAGCATTTATTCCACTACATTCGCAAAAAACTTTGATAACAAATCTCAAAGGAAAAAAGATGTGCTCCTTAAATTAGCTACACCAGCAACTGTTCTCCCCAGAGAGAACTGACTCGCTGCTGAAAACTTCCAAAACACAACACTGAACGGACTGTCCTTGTGAGCAGGACGGGTGAAGCGGGATCAAACGTACTCTTCTATGCAATATTCATGATTGTGTAGAGATTTGTTCATAAAAAGTATTACAAGAATAAATAATCACAATCCTCCTTCTTACCTGGCTCTTAAAAGTCAAGGCTCTGTACATTAGCTTTTTCCCTTACACATACTAAATGCAGGTTTTCCTCTCTTATCTCTCAAATTTTACTTTAGAAAAGCTATTTTTAATACCTGTTTTTAATAGCTAATGCTAATTGAATGTTTTAACAGCTTTGTGCTGTCATTATACTTCCAGAAGCCAATACATTGGGTTTGGATGTGTCTGACTGAACTGCTCCATCCATTTCCCCTCCGAGGAACCATCGCTGCCTCCCGCGAGGCTCCTGCAGTGCATTTGAGAGGCTCCCGTGTTTTGCAGGTGTTGCCGAGTACTGGATGTGAAGATAACGGTGTTGCCTAGGAGTTACTGCAGGAGCAGTGAGGAGGTAATGGAATCGCACAGACGCTTCTGGAAATAAATTAGCCCCACGGAATATTATTGGTGAGAATGCAATAATGGGAAAGAACATGCTCAGCTACCAAGACTGTTTGCAGAAGAAGAAGAAACACCGCGTGTTTGTCCTTGAGCACTAAGCAAGCACATGGACAAATGAGGGAAAGACAGTAAGCTCCTGCCTGCCACTTTTGCTTTCACTTTGAGAAGAAACTTCAATAATGAATGTAAAAGGAATTAATCATCTTTTCTCCTATCACCCTTCCCAGAGGTCTCAGCCTCCAGCTTGGCAGGAACTTTCTGGTGAAGAAACAGCCCCTGGAGTGGAGGGAGGCCCAAGGAGAGAAAGGTGCTGACAGGGAGGAAGATGAAACCATTCAAAGAGGGACCGAAAAGGTAAAGAGCTCAGAGCAAGTCCATGCTGTGCCAGTACTGCAGTTCCTTCCTACTTCCACAAAAGAAGGCCCATTCCCCCCGCTCACTGACCATAAACTCCAGTACTCCCTGTTTTTATCAGACTCTTTTATTTTTCAGAGAGTGGTAGAGCACATGAACATCTTGATGAATAGCACATGTCTGCACATGGAAGACACTTTGGACACACCTGGTTTTTAGAAAGCTCAGTCCAAACAGGAGATTAATAACTGTAACTGGGTAATGTCATTTTTAATGGGTTAGGCTTTTCCTACTACCACTTCTCTTTTCTTCCCCTCTTCTTGCCAGCACTCAGTAAATGGATATTATTTCCTACTTGAGTAAATTTTAATGGAGAGGGACCTTAAAGCTCATCCAGTTCCAACCCCCCTGCCATCAGCAGGGACACCTTCCACTAGACCAGGTTGCTCAAAGCCTCATCCAGCCTGGCCGAGAACACTTCCAGGAGGAGCAGCCACAGCTTCTCTGGCCAACCTGGGCCAGTGTCTCCCCGGGATAACATACGAGAGAACTGGGAAGAAATTAAGCTACAGAATTTACCTGCTGGCTATATTAGTACAGTATTATCTATTATCCTGCCCAGAGTTAAGCCAGGATGATGACTAGCTGGCTTACACTGTCCAGTTTCGAATGTCATACAGAATTATTTTTTGTAGTTAAATCGGGTAAGTGTGAGAAAATATAGAAAGACAAAAAAAAAAAAGACTCTTGGGAAAGGACAAAGAAATGAAGTTGTTGAATGTAGAAAGGACATAAATAAAAGGGAATGCGCTGTTGGTATTCCAAGATGTGATAGCTGCCTCTCTTCTAAGGAGGCCGGTGATCAATTATTCTCCATTGTGACTCTGTTTAATTTACCCCAAGGGAGAACAGGATTAGATACTTGGAAAAAAAAATCTTTCTAGCTATAAGAGTAGTTAAACACTAGAACAGACAAAATAGGGAAGCCTTGGGACAGCATTCCTTAGAGAGTTTCAAAAATAAGGTTAGAAAAATATCCATCAGAGATGAATCTGAGTATAGTTAATCCTGTGAAGGGAACAGCTCATCTCCTGGGGTTCTTCCCAGCTCTGCGTTTTGATGCTGAGAGAAAGGTGACAGATGGAGGAGAAAATGGGATGAGAGTGAGCAGGATCACTATGGACTTCAGGGCCAGTACGGGAGAAGCCCCAAGGCACAGAGTGGGACAGCAAGCGCGAGGAGCAGCCTCATAAACCCGCAGTCTCTGCAGCCAGCATCCACATTGCATCGTGTGGCTCTTCAGGAAATGGATGCATCTAGGTCATTTGCACTTATTTGTCTAAATATGATCTTTTTTTACCCTACAGCTTCTGTGATTTCCTTTTCTTTCCCTCGCTGAAGCTAATTAAGCTCTTCTGAATAATGCTCTGCAGTCTGTTCACGTAATATGTACTAAGGATTCACACGGAAAAGATGAAGCCAAAAAAAGTAATATTTGATGGGAGCAAAACCCAAAGTTTTGACACATTATGTAAACCTACCACAATTCTGCTCTCTGCATTTGCTTTGGCAGAGGTGTACAGCTGAAGTGCTTATGCCTGAGGTAGCGGCTGTGCTCAGGGGATGTACCTGCCCGGGTGACCTGCTCAGGCTGTTTTCTGCTGCTCTCACTCTGACTTAAATTTCCCCATGTCACTGTCCCCTCTCTGAAAGGGGAGGTGACTTTTCTCTAGCTGTGCTTTAAAGAAAAAAAAAAAAAATCTCCTTTGTGGCCATCATAAGGAAACCAAGGCTGGTCTTTTATTGGAAAACCTGAAGATCTGCGATTGGAATGTGGCTTCCACAATGAATTATGCACCTACCCCCAAATTACAGCAGTGGATCTAGATACCTGTAGAAACGATTGCACCTGTAAATCAGACTGTCCAATAACTCTTACTATTAAACTGACTTTTACTTGTCTTTAGTACTGCTTTTTTCTCCTGCTCTCTAGCTTTAATCAATTTCTTTTTTCTGCCACGAGTCC